CCAACCTGGATGGATTTAAAAGAGGATTAGACAACTTCACGGAGGAAGAGAGGTCTACTTGCCAAGATGGCTCTGCTCTGCCTCCACAGTAGGAAGCAACGATGCTTCTGAACCGCAGTTTCTGTCAATCGTAGGAGAGGAGAGGACTCTTGCCCTCAAATCCTGCTTGAGGGTTGAGAACAGGAGGCAGGACTCCTTTCCGCATGGGATAATAATAATAATAATAATAATAATAATAATTTATTATTTATACCCCGCCCATCTGGCTGGGTTTCCCCAGCCACTCTGGGCGGCTTCCAACGGAATATTAAAATACAATAACCTATTAAACATTAAAAGCTTCCCTAAACAGGGCTGCCTTCAGATGTCTTCTAAAAGTCTGGTAGTTGTTCTTTTCTTTGACATCTGGTGGGAGGGCGTTCCACAGGGTGGGGGCCACCACCGAGAAGGTCCTCTGCCTGGATCCCTGCAACCTTACTTCTCATGGGGGGGACGCCAGAAGGCCCTCAGCACTGGACCTCAGTGTCCGGGCAGAACGATGGGGACGCTCCTTCAGGTATACTGGACCAAGGCTGTTTAGGGCTTTAAAGGTCAGCACCAACACTTTGAATTGTGCTCAGAAACGTACTGGGAGCCAGTGTCCTGGGATGGCCAACATTTGCCCCCCAGCTGTTTTTTCCACCCCCAAGGAGCTGTGCCCTGTTTCTTACCCCTCTCCCTTCTTCTCCCATAAACTGAAAGCCCCCAGGCACTGGTTTTAAGATAAATTAAAATAAAAAATACACTTCTGGATTGGCAGAGAGAGGGGGAGGGAGGGAGAGAGAGACTTTCCAAACAAAGGCTCCGACCCTCCAATAACATTACAAGTCATCAGCAGTGGTGTCCTGTAACCGCACTTATTTATCTCGGCGCATCAAATGATGCCAATACATAAAACGGGAATATTAGTCTATGATATAATAAATTAGGTGTCTGTGGGACGCTGCTTCAGCGTGGTACATGCATCACCGCAGTGGTGTTACGGTTGTGACACATTTACTGGAGTTTTAACTCTAATAAACTGCTCCGTATGTTTGTGATCTGAATATTTGGTGTCGTTTGCTGTAGTCAAGTCCTGCTTTATGTCAAAATCCATACAGGACCTTTATTAGGATTTATACGGGAACATTTGTTCATTTTTGGAGGGGCTGGCAGCTTCGAGATCGGAATACAAGGGGGATAAAATGAGAAATGGAAATGGGGGGAGGGAAGGACTTTCTACTCATCGGCTGTTAAGATATGATCTCCCCTCCCCCCTCCCCTTTTCATATATATATATATATATATATATATATATATATATATATCTTCTCTGGGTGTTATTTATAAGTCCAGGACAGGGAAATCAAGAGTGCTGAGGGGAATCTTGCAAACTGGAGCACCGCAATGGGGGGAAGGTTAAATGAACAGACTGCACAAGAATTGGAAGCGAGACCTACCCCAATCCCTCCCACATTGTCCTTGCTTAGGATGGTGTGAATCAGAGAATGGGAGAGTTGGAAGGGACCCCAGTGGTCCTCTAGTCCACCCCCTGCAAAGCAGGAGTCTATGGTATCTACCTGACTTCCACACAGATAGATGAGTCTGGCACCATCATGCCTTGTGAGGCAAGATCACATCTAAGACAAGCCCTTGAATTTTCAAGATGCTTATACAGTGGTACCTTGGTTCTCAAACTTAATCTGTTCCAGAAGTCTGTTCCAAAACCAAAGCGTTCCAAAACCAAGGCGCGCTTTCCCGTAGAAAGTAATGTAAAATGAATTAATCTGTTCCAGACTTTTAAAAACAACCCCTAAAACAGCAATTTAACATGAATTTTACTAACAAGACCATTGATCCATAAAATGAAAGCAATAATCAATGTACTGTACTATAAAATAAATAAGACAGTATTATATATGATAAAAAAATTTTTTAAAAAATTCTTACCTGCACTGATGATAGTCATTGTTTGGATGGGGTTTTTTTATTCATTTCCACAGTCACACAATCAATCAATCAATCAATCAGTAGCTGAACTGGGTTCCACACAGTCACAAAAACAAATTAATTGAAAAAGCCTCGAAAACAAAAATGCAAAATAAATAGCAAAAACAAAAACGCCAAACTTAATCCGTTCTGGAAGTCCATTTGACTTCCAAAATGTTCAAAAACCAAGGCACAGTTTCTCCTTGGTGCAGGTGCCCCAGAAACAATATCCGACAGCTGCATCGGATGTTTGGCTTCCGAAAAACATTTGAAAACTGGAACACTAACTTCCGGTTTTTGGAGTTTGAGAACCAAGGCATTTGAGAATCAAGGGACCACGATAGAATTGTGGAACTGCAGAGATCAAAGCACCTCAGTGGGTCATCTAGTCAAGAATAATGCTAAATCATCGCTGACAAGTGGCCATCCAAACCCCACACCTTCAGCAAAGGAGAGCCAGGCACTTTCTGAGGTTGAGCCCTTACTGTCAGAAGGACTGGAGTCTCCTTTCTTATCATTTGAGACCATTGGCTCAGGTCGGATCCTCTGGAGAAGGAGAGAGAAAGACGCTCCCTCTTCCATGTGGCAGCCCTTCAGATATTTGAAGGTGGCGATAGAAAGGAAAGCCAGACAGAACCACCTTCGGGTGTCCCTTGGTCTACAACTTCAGTGTGGCAATTGGGCAGGGATGATGGTGAGGGCTGTTTCTGGACCACCAGAGGCCGGCTGTGTCTCCCACCCAGAATGGCGGCTCCAGGATGGACTACTGCATTGCAGTGTCTATGGGGCAGGACCTGAGACTTGCCCAGAAACGGCTCAGCTGCTCATTGGGGCAGAATGGAATCCTGCTTGTGGGTTTCCCCCAGGCACCTGGTGGTCTGCTTCTGTGAGAACAGGATGCTGGACTAGTGAAAGGGCCTCCTTGGGCCTGATCCAGCAGGCTCCTCTGATGCTCTGGTTCTCTGGTGCTCTTTGCTTCCTTTTCTTCCATTTGTGTTTGCTGTTAAAACTGCAAGCATCTAATTTGTAGCGCAGCAAAGCTGGAGGTGCAGGAATCTGCTAAAATATTACCACAGGAGACTCATTACGGAAAGGACGAGCTGGGCTGGCATCTGATTTCATTACGGAATAAGTCAAACTTCGCAGGATCAGCCTTCAACTTGGCTGGGCCCTGGGAAGCTGCTGACTCATCTTAATCAGGGTTTTGCAAACACCAGCGCAGAGACACACAGACACACACATTTTAATATTTAAATTGCAACATGCAAATATGCTGGAGTACACGAATCGTCCGCTTCATCCTTTGTGGCAATAACTGCCAGCAATAAAACTTCCCTGACTCAAGAGGTCAAACTATTGCTGGGGGGGGGGCGGTCCTGTGCCGCTGTCTCTGCCAGGAGGAGCTGCTCTCGGGAGGTGGGTGCTGGGGGGCAGGCGGGGACAAAAGCAAATCCCATGCTAGGGATCATCGGCGAAGGAATTGGAAATAAAACCAGCAGCAGCAGCATGCTGCTGTGTAAATCTATGAACTAGGGATGTGGGTGGCACTGTGGGTTAAACCACAGAGCCTAGGGCCTGCCGATCAGAAGGTTGGCAGTTCGAATCCCCGCGACGGGGTGAGCTCCCGTTGCTCGGGCCCTGCTCCTGGCAACCTAGCAGTTCGAAAGCACGTCAAAGTGCAAGTAGATCAATAGGTACTGCTCCCGCGAGAAGGTAAATGGCGTTTCCGTGCGCAGCTCTGGTTCGCCAGAAGCGGCTTAGTCATGCTGGCCCCATGACCTGGAAGCTGTACGCCGGCTCCCTCGGCCAATAAAACGAGATGAGTGCCGCAACCCCAGAGTCAGCCATGACTGGACCTAATGGTCAGGGGTCCCTTTACCTTTATGGAGCAACTGCATTTGAAATAATCTGTACATTTCTGGCTGCCTCATCTCAAAAAAGATATTTCAGAGTTGGAAAAGAGTTGGAAAAGGGCCACCCAAGGGACTGAGGGGGTGGAGTGAGGAAAG